AAGCATACTGTTACAAAGGTATCCTGACTCCTATAGGGCTTGCTGTAAAATCCTGAGTTGACATCACATTTTACAAAAATTCACTTGTTTTATTGAAAACTGCATTTTCAAAAAACTTCAAGACAGACATAAGCTTTGCATTCTTAAAATAACATTGTTTGCATATGACTATTTGTTCGAACAGCAGAGAAATTCGCACGATGAATATCTTGTGAACAAAAACCTTTTCAATAAAAAAGATCACCTCAAGTGGAACAACACTTCCAATCAAGGGGCGCGGCATGTTCATTGTCTATCATCTGGGGCAGTCAAGTCAAGATTCAAGGAATCTCTCAAAATGCCAAATAGCCAGGGGCAGATCTCCATCTGAATCAATTGGGGCATTGGACATGAATTCCAGCAACGAATCTTGCATGATCAAATGAAGATCTTCTGGTAGTATGGCAACACAACACTACCGACAGTGACACCTCTCTACATCCTGAGGGAATGGATATAGTCAAAAAATACCGCGCGTGAATCAATGACCCGCTAGGTTGACTGGCCTAGGCAAAAATAAGGGCTTCTCGGCGAACCAAAAGGGTTCGGGCAAAAAAATAAGGGATGAAAATAAAAAATCTATACACCCGACAAGTCGAAAATCTGAAAAGGCGGCTTGGGCAAAAAGGGGTATTCCGATGGACTGAAAACCCGAAAGGGCGGTCCAGGCAAAAATTAGGGATCAAAGTGTACGACTATGTCCCGTCATCTCGTCACTTGCCTACCAGAAGAAGATTTGTCAATCGGCAGATATCAAGCACCTCATAGGCCTTCTTCTCCCGCAGAAACTGGGGCAATAAGAATTGTCCGAACTGTACAGTTGCTCTGTCCACCAAGGTACCAAGGTAGGTTCAGCTGAAGAATATGACCAAGATATCGTCACTACTCGCAGAGTAAGACAGTAATGGCAGCTCTCCCGGCTGAGACTTGCAGCTATGTACAAATCAGCAATACTCTCCCCCAAGCAGAGTTAGTCTACCGTTAGTCCTGAAAAGGCTCGGTATTCCCAGAAGGTCTTAATATTCCCCAGCGGAGTATACAGATATTCCCCAGCAAGCGTAAAGAGCATCCCTAGCAGTCTTAATATTCCTCAGCGAAATATAAGAATGTTCCCCGGCGGAATACAAGATACCCCCAGTGGAGCCATTTCCCCAGCGCAGTCTAAAAAATTTCCCCAATAGAGAATTGAATCATCTTACTCAGTAGATTCTGGAAGCTTGTCCCCTGCAGAATACAAATGCATCTCCTCAGCCAAATTCAGAGGTTATCCCCACGAGAGTCTAACTGGGTTATCCTCAGTAGGTTGCAACTGAAAGATCATCCCCAGCGAAGTTCTTTCTATCCCCAGCGGAGTTCATCATCAAAAACCCCAACAGAGCTTATCAACGGAATTCCCAGTGGAGTTATCGTTAAAATCTCAGCAAAGCATCTCTTCCCACAGAGTAATTCCCTGCAGAGTAATATCTTCACCAGTTTATTCCCCAACGGAGTTCTTTTCTCCTGCAGGTTTATTCTCACAATCATCTTGGTTCATCATCCCCAGCGGAAACGAAGAACTCAACTCTATTCTCCAGCAGCTCCAGGATTTATTTTCCCAGACGAAAATACATTCATAAACATTTCACACTTCATATCTCCTATTTATATACATGATAAAGTGCCTACGACACGATCTCATTTATTTTTGAGAACATCATGACATCATGCATTTCATACATCACGACATTGCATTCAGCTAACGTTTTACCTTTTTCAGGAAAAGGTCAATCAAAAGATGGCTACCATCAACCTTTTCAAGTCCCAGTTTAATACCTGTAACAAGCCAGGAAAATTCTGTGGACGGCTGATTATAGGTTAATACCTGTAACAAGCCAGGAAAACCATCTACACAGAGATTGAAGATTAACACCTGTAACAAGCCAGGAAGATCTTCATTTCTCAGGTCAGAGATTAATACCTGAAACCATCCAGGACAACTATCTCATTGGCCAACCTTTTCAAGTTCCAGATTAATACCTGTAACAAGCCAGGAAAAATATCTGTGGACGACTGATTGTAGGTTAATACTTGAAACCAGCTAGGAAATTATCTACATGAAGAGATTGAAAATTAATACCTGTAACAAGCCAGGAAGACCATCTTTCTTTCTCAGGTCAGAGATTAATACCTGAAACCAGCCAGGACAACTATCTCCTCGACCAACCTTTTCAAGTTCCAGATGAATACCTATAACAAGCAAGGAAAATATCTGTGGACGACTGATTGTAGATCAATACCTGTAACAAGCCAGGAAAGTTATCTACATGAAGAGATTGAAGATCAATAACTGTAACAAGCCAGGAAGACCATCTTTCTTTCTCAGGTCAGAGATTAATACCTGAAACCAGCCAGGACAACTATCTCCTCGACCAACCTTTCTTAAGTTCCAGATGAATACCTGTAACAAGCCAGGAAAATATCTGTGGATGACTGATTGTAGATCAATACCTGTAACAAGCCAGGAAAGTTATCTACATGAAGAGATTGAAGATCAATACCTGTAACAAGCCAGGAAGACCATCTTTCTTTCTCAGGTCAGAGATCAATACCTGTAACCAGCCAGGACAACTATCTCATCGGCCAACCTTTTCAAGTTCCAGATTAATTCCTGTAACAAGCCAGGAAAAGCATCTGTGGACGACTAATTGAAAATCGATACCTGAAACCAGCCAGGAAAACCACCTACGCGAAGAGATTGAAAATTAATACCTGTAACAAGCCAGGAAAACTATTTTTCTTTCTCAGGTCAGAGATCAATACCTGAAACCAGCCAGGACAACTATCTACTCGACCAGCTCAAACAATTCAACAACCACTTTTGGGTAGTATCTTTAAGCCCATCTCCAACAACTTTCTATCACATCTCCAAATGGCATATGTAAGCCCATTCCCGACATCACAATGCTGATACTACATCATGCGAGTGCAAATTTCTGGGCACTTTAGTGTTCAATCATCTTCCACCTTCAGATCACGAAAGGCACGCAAGCCAATCTACATCCTCAGGTTTAAGAAGATTGAACAGGGGCAACTGTTGTACCCCAAAATTTGCCCTCCCATATTCCTCAAGATTTGTCAAGAATGATCTTCATATTGCTCAAAATGGCTCAAGGGTTGTACAGTCAAATCACCTCCTAAGGCAGTCAATTCAAAATTAGGGTTTTGTGTTGCATCAAGGTCCTTACATCCAAATGGCCTCAAGTGCTTCCCAATGCCTTGATATGTTCTTAAGTTCATCCATGACAAATTTCAAGCCTTGTAGAGAAACTTTGGTCAGTTAATTGCTCAAGAGGCCCAAAAATCGACTGTGTTGGGTCAAAAGTCAATTGTGTCCCAAATACAGTCAAACCTCAGGATTTTTTGTCAACACTCTTATTTTGAAGTATAATTCATCATTTGATCAATGGTTGATCATGATTCATCAAGGATTGCTCAGGATTCATCGAGATTCAAAAGTTGCTAAATTAGGGTTTTGGAGGAAAAGTCAACTCAACTTTGACCAAGCATAACTTTCTCATACTTTATGAGAAATGACCCATCCAAAGCTCATTTTGAAGAGGATGCAATTTCCTACAATCCATCTTCACACCCCAAGATAAATAAATTCTCTCACAAAAAGTTACAAATTTGGACATTATAGGTCATTTTTGAAAGTCAACAAAAACACCTTTTTTTCTAAAGCTTATAACTTGCGAATGGAATATCAAAATGAGATGAGATCAAAAGGGTTGATTAGAGGACACCTCAAGGTTTCTAAAAAGTCCAAGAACACCTCCAAAAGTTCAAAATTGAGGAAGTTATGCATTGTTGAAGTTAGGAATTTTTCCAAAATTGCCAAAAGTCAACTATCCTCAAAACTCCAATTTTTGACAAAAGGGCCCACTTGATTCAGTCTTGTCATGCCACACACGTGTCCCATCCTTGATTTCAGGATGTAATAGCTTTAACTTAGGATTATTTACCGCTTTTATTTACCTTTTCGCATTTACTTTTTCAAGGGTTTGTTTTTGGCGATGTAAATACCCGACGCCTTGTAATAGCTTAGATTTATTTTCCGCAACCATTAACTGCTAGATGTATGCTAATTGGCTATCCATGACAAGATCTATCACTATGCCAAACAAGGGATTAGACAGCGCTTTTTTAGGCCTTTAACAGCGCTTAAAAGCGCTGCTAAAACCTCTGCTGCTAAAGGTATAGACAGCGCTTTTTTTCAATCACTTTAGACAGCGCTTGGTAAAAGCATTGTCTATTACCCCCCTTTAGCAGCGCTTTTCCTCATTTTTATTTTTTATTTTTTTTTCAATCACTTTAGACTGCGCTTTTCATGAAAAGCACTATCTATTACCCCCCCTTTAGCAGCGCTTTTCCTCATTTTTTTTTAATTTTTTTTTTCAATCACTTTAGACAGCGCTTTCATGAAAAGCGCTGTCTATTACCCCCCCCCCCCCCCCCTTTAGCAGCGCTTTTCATTATTTTTTTATTAATCAGAAAGGCTCATCATGCAAATTTTAATGAGGCATAATGAGGTTTTATTATTATTATTTTTTATTAATTGTGCCCCCACACAATTGTAAGTTTTAAAGAGAGTATTTTTAAAATCTAAAATATAAATATTGACAAAGTTTAATTCTAATCTTCTTATTTCAAAACATAGTGCATGTTTTAAATGTCAATTGCCAATTGCATTCAATAGTTTCTCAATTTCAATGAAGCTACACAATCAACACTGTAACAATTATCATGATCACAAAATGCAAAGCGACTGCCAAAAGAACAATGGTAAGAAAACAGAAACCACCAAAATTGAACATTATTGCAAACTAGACATTGGATTCTTTCAAATCATCCTTTACAACCAGCAAAAGGGCCCAAACAAACAAACAAAAAACACTCAATGTTTCAGACAATGCTATAATTGGTTAGTCTTTAACATCTGAAACTCCTTCGCCTAACACCTGAAATCTTGCTTCGGCTTCAGCCAAACAAGGAGAACTAATCACTTTACAGATTCGCTCTTCTCCTCTTCCTTTCCTGAGAGCTAACCTTGTTGTGGTTGCATGAGCCATAATGTTCCCTCCAATAGGTTTGGTTTGTGGTCCAGCAAACATTGCAGAACCATCTACTTGTGAAACTACTTGGTTTGTTAAGACAACAGCCACGCCGAACTACAATTAGACAATCAAAATAAGTTATTAGCTCCAAATGATTTGTATATTTGTATGTGTTTACTAAGAATCATGAATCAGTTTATATACAATAAAGAAATTTGTGCAGAACAAGCCTGACATGGACTGTTTACCTCGTCTGCTAACTTCTGAAGGCTTCTCAGGAACTTCGCTAAATGCATTTGGCGGGCTGAAAGCTCCCCTCTTCCGGAAAAATCTGTCCTATAGAGAGCAGTAGCACTGTCTATTATCATTAGAGCAAACCTGTGTATAAGCCATCAAAACATAAGCCTCAATATCGATTCTGGCATCTAAAGCACATAACCAAATTAAGATCAAACATCACTAGTAAAGTAAATCTTACAATACAGCTTAAGGCCTAATAGAAAAGAATGAAAGGAAAATAAAACAGAGCCAGTTCAGCTGGTCATAGTGCTAGTCTGACATAATAATGCATATTCGAAAGGAACCATCAGAAGTCACACCTTGTATCAACCATCATTGAAGCTGCTTCAAGCAGAAGCCGTGTTTGATGATCCGTGTTATACGCCCTAGCATAAGCGACATTTTCCAATACATCATCACCATTCAGTCCAAACCTGTACCATTAAGGAACATTAATATTGAATATATAATTTCACAGACATAGGGCAACAAAGCAATATAAAGAATCATTATACCTGTCTGCTATCTGTAAGAGTCGCTGAGGCCGAAATGTTCCCTCAGCATCTATGTACATAGCTTTACCCTCACCTCCTCCTTGATCTAGTGGCAACTACAATTATCAACGACAAATTAATTACTAGAAAAAGACATTAGGTAGTAAGGCCAAATCAATATGAACTTAAACATTTACAAACTGAATACACAAGAGTATATTCATTCAGCAATAAGATCAAGTAAATGATCGCACTAAATCGCACTATGTTTCTGACTCAAATATCACATGTTTTCCTTAGTTTTTATTGTCATTTTCTCGTATTATGTTCCTTTTTCCTTTGTTTTCAGGATTCTTGTCATTTCAGAGCCTTCTGTGAAGAAACGAGCCAAAACGCCAAGAAATTAGGGTTTTTCAAGATATTCTGCACTTATGGCGTTCAGCGCCGCGCTGGCTACATGGAACGCGATGACGTGGCCCACTTTCACCCAGAGACCAACTGCCACGTTCCCACGATGTGGCAGTTCCAGCCACCGCGCCCGCAGCCACTGCCACCGCGCCCGCGGCCTTCACAAAAGTTTTCCCGCTCAGAAGAAGTTGAGGGGCATGCTGGTCTTTACGCATCTCAAGGATCCTCTATAAATAGTTTTCGATTTTCATTTTTTAGTTTCATCCAAGCTTAGTACAATCTTAAGCCATATACTATCAGTTTCTGTAAAGTAATAATCTCTTCACATCGGGGAGTTATTGCGGTGTAGATTGAGTTGTAATCGAGTCTTGGAGCACTTTGGTTGAAGTTGATCATACCAGCCTTACCATTCCGCAGATTTGTATCAGATTCAAGTCTCCGACTGGAGCAAGGTTCTATTTTATTGCATTTCTTTACTTATAATTGCTCTTACCATAGTCTACACGTTTTATAGACTCTAAATGCTCTTACCATAGTCTACACGTTTTATAGACTCTAAACGCTCTTACCATAGTCTACACGTTTTATAGACTCTAAACGCTCTTATCATAGTCTACACGTTTTATAGACTCGCACTTATTATGTCTGGCTAAACTATAAAGGTTTGGATGTAATGATTGTCATCATGGTCGTGTTCCAATTATCATGCTAGTGAAAATACTCTGGGGATGTTTTGCTTTTAACTTAAGTCAATTATGTTTAAATGTTTATTGGGTAAGATTGAAAGTCGTCCAAACTAATGATACGACTTGATTATTATTTAACCAAACAAAAAGAGCAAAAGCCGTTGATTGGTTAAATAGGAATCATTGACCTTTTTAGAAAACGATTTTGAAACTATTTTCAGACGCGTTTGTAGGTTTGAAATCTGACTCTTGGTCAAAAGCCAAAAGTCTCTTTAAGTTAATCTTTCCAAGTAAAATTACTTTTCTGTTAAGTCAAAACTATCAATTTCTTAAAAATAGGTTTACCTCTTTAACGCGGAAGGCACCCTTTATATGTGACAATAAAGGAATTTAATTTAAAGAGTAAATTCGGTTCTTAGTAGTCAAAAGCTACAAGTTCCCGTTAAATTGATTCTTTGCTATCAATAAAAAATACTGCCCCATAAGTAGTTTCATCTACGCATGACCGGACCAATATCTGATTACATGATTTACATTCCAACCTGTCTTTTAAACTGTTATTTACCTCGCTAATTTACTTTGTTGCACTGCACTCACATCAATATTCTTGTTCACCTTAGATAAGCACCTTAGCAATAGAGTTGATAGATTGACAATTGGTCTCTGTGGTTCGATAATCTTATATATTACTTCGATAGGCTGTGCACTTGCAGTACTATATTTAGGCTATACGTTACAGATTCCCTCATCAAGTTTTTGGCGCCGTTGCCGGGGACCAACTTCGTCAAATTTCGCACCCTATTGTTATCCCGTTTAGACTAAGGCTATTCTAGCCGGTAGATGCGTAGAAATTGTAGCACCGGTAACCTAATAGATCCTTTAGTAGAACCTGAACGTTACGCTCGTGCCCGTCTTTTTATACGCAAGATAAGAAGAGCTATGGCAGAAGATCGTAACCAAAGACCACTCAAGGAATTCGCCCAACCATCTAACGAGGAACCTAGTTCTAGTATAGTAAACCCTACTATAACTACCAACAACTTTGAACTAAAGCCCTCATTATTACAATTAGTACAACAAAACCAATTCGCTGGTCTCGCTACCCAGAACCCGAATCAACATTTAAAGGTATTTATCCAGTTAGCTGACACCCTTAAGGCAAATGGAGCCACACCCGAAGCCATCCGTTTAAGATTGTTTCCTTTTTCCCTTAGAGGTAAAGCTCACGACTGGTTAGACGCCCTTCCAGCTAACTCAATAACAACTTGGGAAGACCTTAGGAGAGCTTTTCTTGCGAGATATTTTCCACCAAGCAAGACCGCTGTTCTTAGGAACCTGATCACTTGTTTCACCCAAAACCAAGGCGAATCACTTTTTGATGCCTGGGAGAGATATAAAGAACTTTTAAGAGCTTGTCTGCACCATGGCCTGGAGCAATGGTTAATCATACATACCTTCTATAATGGACTCCATTACAACACAAAGATTTCCATAGACGCTGCCGCTGGCGGAGCGTTGATGAACAAACCTTACCCTGACGCTTGCGCCCTAATAGAGGACATGGCCCAAAACCACGCCCAGTGGGGATTAGAACGAGCGACAGTACAGAAAAAGGAGAGCCATGGAGGAAATCATGAGGTAAGTTGCATGGACATGATTAATGCCAAGATGGACGCCCTAGCTTTGAGAGTCGAGAACATGTCTCAAAACCCAACCACAGTAGCAGCAATCCAATCGGAATGCGAACTCTGTGGAACTCAAGGACATCAAACCGTTGATTGTAACCTTTTGAACGAATCTATCTTAGACCAAGTTAATTATACCCAAGGGAACCCTTTCTCGAATACCTACAATCCTGGATGGAGGAACCACCCGAATTTCTCTTACAAAAACAATAACCCTATCCAAAATCCCGGACCTTCGAGACCTCAAGGATTCCAAACGCAAAAACAAAACCAACCTATGCAAATAGTGCCCCCAAGACCAAACCTTAAAGAAACCATAGACACCTTTATTCAGACTCAAACTCAGCAAAATAAGGAGTTTATGAACCAACACATTCACACGAACGAACTAGTTACTCAACTGGCAACCAAGTTTGACCAGATGATAACCCACACCAAAATGCTTGAGACTCAGATTTCCGAAGTAGCACAAAACACCTCTGTACAAGTTGCACCTGGAGGACAATTTCCTGGACAAACTGAACCAAATCCAAAAGGCCAAGCAAATTCTATCACCTTAAGAAGTGGAACTGCTTATGAAGGGCCTAGAAATCCTAACTTAAGCACATCAGAAAAACCTATGGAAGATGCTACACCTAAAGCCCAGGTAGAGGAACCAGAGAAACCAGAAAAGCAATCAAAACCAGAACCAGGGAATAACACTCAACAACCTTATAAACCACCTATTTCGTTCCCACAGAGGCTGAAAAACACCAAAGTAGAAAACCAGTACCAAAAGTTTATTAAGGTAATAGAGAAACTCCATGTAGAGATTCCTTTTACTGAAGCTATAACCCAGATACCATCATATGCTAAGTTCTTGAAAGATATTTTGACCAATAAACGGCGACTCGATGATCCCAAGCCTTTAGAATGTCATTATATATCCGAAAATAAACTCGCCAAGAAAGATAAAGACCCTGGAAGTTTTTCTATCCCTTGCATCCTAGGTAACCATATGATAGACAAAGCATTTTTAGACTTAGGAGCAAGCGTAAGTCTGATGCCTCTGGCCGTCTGTAAGAGGTTAAAATTAGGAGAACTTCAACCTACTAAGATGTCCTTACAACTAGCTGATAGATCTGTCAAATATCCCATGGGTATTTTAGAAGACATACCTGTCAAGATTGGTCAGTTGTACATTCCGACCGACTTCGTCGTAATGGATATTAAAGAAGATAAAGACATCCCAATCCTCTTAGGAAGACCATTCTTATCGACCGCCGGAGCTATAATAGATGTTAAGAAAGGGAAACTGACTTTCGAGGTAGGAGATGAAAAGATTGAGTTCATTTTATCAAAGTTTCTAATGGCACCAGTGATAGGAGATGCGTGTTATGCCATCGAAGTCATTGACGAATGTGTAAAGGAGCTCGAACAAAACGAATCTTTAATCAAATTACCATCAACCCCTATTTTAGAGGATGACGGATTTAAGAGTATCGAACCGTGCATTGATGACAACCTTTTCGAATGCTTAGCTCTTACCCCTGACCTTATGCCGCGTACTGAGAAACCCACTATAGAACTTAAGGAACTACCCAAGAATCTAAGATATGAGTTTTTGGATGAGGAGATGAATAGACCTGTTATAATTAGCGCCGCTCTAAACCAAATAGAAACAAATCAACTCTTAGATACCTTGCGAAAATATCCCTCAGCTTTAGGGTATAAAGTATCAGATTTAAAAGGTATAAGCCCATCCGTATGCATGCATCGGATTATGCTAGAAGAAGATTCAAAACCCTCAAGAGAACATCAAAGAAGAATAAACCCTATCATGAGTGATGTAGTCAAGAAAGAAGTTCTTAAGTTATTAGAAGCTGGTATCATATACCAAATTTCGGATAGTGAATGGGTAAGCCCAGTCCATGTGGTACCCAAGAAAGGAGGTATCACTGTTATGGAAAATGAGAAAGGTGAGCATGTGGCAAAACGAACAGAAGGAGGATGGCGTATGTGTATAGATTACAGAAAGTTGAATAAGGCAACGAGAAAAGACCATTTCCCTCTCCCATTTATAGATCAGATGCTTGAACGTCTAGCAAGACACTCATATTTATGCTATCTTGATGGGTATTCAGGGTTTTTCCAAATCCCTATTCACCCAGAGGACCAAGAAAAAACCACATTTACTTGCCCTTATGGAACATTCGCTTATAGACGAATGCCCTTTGGACTCTGTAATGCACCTGCCACTTTCCAACGTTGTATGATGTCAATTTTCGCAGACTACCTAGATGGAATTATGGAAGTATTTATGGACGATTTTTCAGTGTGTGGGTTTGATTTCAAAAACTGCCTCTCAAACTTAGAGAAAATCTTAAAAAGATGTGTGGAAGTAAACCTTGTGTTGAATTGGGAAAAGTGCCACTTTATGGTAAATGAAGGGATAGTCTTGGGACACATTATTTCTGAAAGAGGTATAGAAGTTGATAAGGCCAAGATAGAAGTTATAGAAAACCTAAACCCACCTAAGACCGTTAGGGAAGTAAGAAGTTTTCTAGGACATGCCGGGTTCTACCGACATTTCATCAAGAATTTTTCCGGAATAACAAAACCTTTAACTAACTTATTGATGAAGGATGTCGAGTTTGAATTCGACCAAAAATGTCTTGAGGCCTTTGAAGTTTTAAAGCAAGCTCTTATTTCAGCACCTATCATAAGACCACCTGATTGGACACAACCCTTTGAAATCATGTGCGATGCTAGTGATTTCGCTGTAGGTGTTGTACTAGGGCAAAGAAAAGACAAGAAACTGCATGCTATTTACTACGCTAGTAGAACACTAGACGCTGCCCAGCT